CCACATTTCTGGGTTCGGCCCACATTTCTGGGTTCGGCCCACATTTCTGGGTTCGGCCCACATTTCTGGGTTCGGCCCACATTTCTGGGTTCGGTCCACATTTCTGGGTTCGGCCCACATTTCTGGGTTCGGTCCACATTTCTGGGTTCGGTCCACATTTCTGGGTTCGGTCCACATTTCTGGGTTCGGCCCACATTTCTGGGTTCGGCCCACATTTCTGGGTTTGGCCCACATTTCTGGGTTCGGTCCACATTTCTGGGTTCGGTCCACATTTCCAGGTTGTCAGCGGTTACGCATAACAAACACGACACATCAGCAGTGACACATAATAGATGTGATGTAAATGGCAAAGCGACTTATTTATGGATTTTTCCACTTTATTAGACATATTTGGACTGATGCCACTTATAGGGCAGTGTGACCTTTACAGCAGGAAATACGGTTCTTTTATTTTATGGTAGCGATTCACTTTGGTTTTGGCCTCGCTGTTATAAACTATTAGCTGGATTTAATCCTTGTTTCTCCAAATGTTTAGAGCTTTTTAAAGCAGCTATGATCATATTTGTTCATTGTGTTTTTATAAAACTGCTCTTCAAATGATCTGAGCTGTTGCTTGAAGCGTGCAAAGTAAGCATTATTAAAAAAAGCAGCTACAGCAGTAAATGTTTGTCATATTGAAAGTTGTTTTATTTTCTTAAAGTTTAAAGAAAGGATAAATGTTAAATTTGTGACAATTGTTGACAAAAGAAAAGATGGTGTGTATTGTGTAAGTGCAGTGCATCATGGGAAGTTTACACGAGTGATTCCTCCACAGGTTCCAGGCCCTGTACAACTATACACCTCGAAACGAGGACGAGTTGGAGCTGAAGGAGGGCGACGTCATCGACGTGATGGAGAAGTGCGATGATGGCTGGTTTGTGGGTACGTTTGGAAAATACATGAACTCCTGAAAGATTTTCTCTTGTTTTTATTTGTTCAGAAAAAAAAAAGCCTGTTAATCCAAAGACATGTAGAACAGTTCGCTAAGTACAGTAGGAGAGGACAGTAGTTTGCCTCCTAACAGGGGAAAAGGAACATAAACAAATTAATCAAACTAAATGGATTTAATAGTGAGAATTGAATCTGTTTACCATACGTGTCCAAAATTACATACAGCCTGTAGTGAAATGTAACTTTTTTTAACTTCTTGTCACTTCTCTTGCTTTTATCATCTGTTTGGTCAGGATGTAATGTCCTTGGAACTGCTCTTATCTGAATTCTACATTAAGAATAAGCAGAATGTGATGTTTCTTGTTCAAGCTAAAAGAAAACATTAGCTTCATTTTGAAAAATAGCACAGTAAAAGATGTAAATAAATAAGGAGATTCAGTGTGGTATTACTAAAATCCTGTTAATTGATTAAAATATATTCATTAGTGCCTGTAGTAAAACTTGCCTCAAAAGGTAAAAATCCACGTGTTCAACATTGTGCACAAAAACACCTGTCACTGTAAATGTTTGATTCAAATCCTTCTCTACAGTCAGGTCCCATCAGCTAATATCTGATGTTTAAATGTCTCGGTTGTCAAATACAAATGTAATTGTGACGGCTTCTAAATACTGTTTGGACCAATTTGCTCGATCTTTTCTGCAATCCACTCAGATATTTTGCACGCATGCAGTAATCCTTTTTAAAATACTTATTTACTATAAACTTCATGTTTTTATGTTCATGCACAGAACATTGTCAATGTCAATTTATTTCTATAGCTCATAAAAACAACAAAAGCTGATCAAAGTGCTTTACAATATAGTCGAATTAAAATGAAAGCAATAAGAACTAAAACAAATGCATCTTGTGCCACTCAGGAAGAATAAGAAGGTTATGACCTACAACAATAATAGTAAAATAAAATAATTGCTAAAACCGATCACGCACACGAACCACAAGATGTCAGTATTGTTCTGCCACAGATTTTTACCTTACACAAAATATTTTCACTTCATTAACAGTTTTATCTACCTGACAAGATGTTTACCATTTAACATTAAACTGTCAGTCACAACGTTGTGTCCACCAGTGACGTAAATATAAAAGAACACATTCAATTCATTAACTTTCGTAGTCCAAAACTAAAGCCACAAAATAAATAGTCTACTTCCGTTTTGAGTTTTTATGCAAGTGTTTGGTCACTGGAAGGAAACCAGAGCGCCTGGACACAACTCATGTGTGCACCAGGAGAACATACAAATATGACTCAGAGCGGGAGGCTGTCCTGCAATCTTCTCACAGTAAGAGGACACAGCTGACCACTGTGCCACCGTGCCACCCTCAACAAAAATCTACACTGGAAAAAATGTATCTGTAAAGTAATTTAAACTGGGCAGGGTAATGTGGACATAAAACAATATTGCTATATTTTTAGTTGAATGGTGATAAACTATGCATTTTATTTTCTTACATTTCAAGTCCGCTGATTTAAAATTCACTCACCAATGATGACGTTAGCCTCGTTGTCAGAAGTCGTAACAGCCAGTGTCAGACACGGCACCGTATGAGTTTTGTAACATAGTTTGTTCTGAGTCAGGAGGTTGTAAATGCTTCACAGTCCTGGCTGCAGCGTGCACTCACACACATGCTGCATACGCAACTTCATGGTGCTGTTGAATGGTGGAAAAATACATGGTATTTAATAGTAGTACACACTATTGCCTGTTGCACGTGTTTTTGGCATTCTTTACAACAGGGGTTCTCAAACATTGTGGGTTTGAACCCCTTACAGGGGTAAACAAGTTTCAGGGACCCCCTCATAACCCTCATGTTAATTAAATAATTTTCTTCAATTTGTCTCTTTAATACAATGGAAATATTTGTGTAACATAAATACTTAAGACCTGTTCTTTAATAGTATAAATACAATTTTAATACTTTTAAACATTAGGTATTTTTCATTCAACGCACTCTTAATTAACAAAATGTTTAATTTCAACTTCCAAAAGTTACAGTTTTGAAAAAATGAACAGAATCAAAAATCACTTTAAAACTTTACCTCTTCACATAATAAATTATTAATACATCTTCAAATTATTACAGAAAACTCTTTACATGGAACTGAACAGCATCATAACAGCAGTAGTTATACCAAGTAACAGGACTGAATTTGTAAACTGATCCATCCTGGAATTTAAATAGTGTGTGTGTGTGTGGGGGGGGGGGGTTCTGGGGGTCCTTCCCCATAAAATTTTGAACAAAGTGGATGCGATTTCCTGCATTTCGTGTATTTTAACAGGTTGTTAAACATCTATGTGCTTGTAATATATACATATATATATATATATATATACACATATATACATAATACATTTATTTATTTATTTATTTATTTTTTTGCCGAAGCCCCAAGCACGGGCTCTCGGACCCCCGGGGTCTCTGGGGACCCCAGTTTGAGAACCACTGCTCTACAGAATACATTATTCTGCTGCTTATCTGACACTTTGAATCCAGATAGTTGAGCCCAGCTCCTCTTTGATATATTCTGTGGTGTTTATCCATGGCTGTTGCTGCCTGCAAGTTTCCAGGTGAAGCAGTCAGGGTGGGGTGATTTGAGCTGTGTTCACTGAGGGGAGAGGTGGAGCCAGCCAGGATTGAGAGATGTTGAGCACAAATACATGGAGAGAAGAAAAAGGTGAACTGGCGGATTTAAAGGGACAATTGTCACGCGTCGGACTACAGTAGTCCTTCGTTTATTGTACAGGATCTGTACCCTGAAGAGCCACGATAAGTGAAAAACCGTGAAGTAGGAAAAGTAGTACAAGTAGTAAGTAGTAGTAAACATTCATAAAAATACCATACTTACCATGCGTCTCATTCGCCAATCAACCAATTGTGTCATGTCCAATATTACTTTGAAAAACCACGACTGAGCGATTCCGCGTTAAACAAACTGCGAAGTAGCGAAGGACTACTGTGAATTCATCCATCCATCATCTTTTACCCGCTTCTTCCATTTTGGGTCACGGGGGTCGCACATTCACTCTCACTCACACCTAGGGACACCTAGAGTTACCAATCAGCCTAACATGCATGTTTTTGGTCTGTGAGAGGAAATGGGAATACCCAGAGAAAACCCACACATGCACGGAGAGAACATGCAAACTCCACCCAGAAAGGGCCCCGGACCGGGATTTGAACCAGGGACCTGCTCGCTGAGAGGCAGCAGCTCTACCAGTTGCGCCACCGTGCTGCAAATCTGTACTGTACTGTAAATCCAATAAACGATATAGTCTCATAAATACCGTAGTATGAAAATGTGCCAATGTTTTTTAAAATCTCAATATATTTATTGCCCAGTCCTATTTTTAAGTCAGACAATACATTTCGGGGCAGAATTGATAAATTGCACTTGAGCCAGCCACTAGAGGACACCTGACCTTTGTAGCTCTAACTTCCAGCTTCCAGTCCTGTGTCTACGTACGAGAGATCTCAGTGGTGTCCACTTCTGAGTTTGGAGTTGCTTTAAATGTGGACACAATTTGCTCACCTGGTGGCACCTTTCAGAGTAACTGCTCCATCAACAATCGTCCACATTTCTCCAGACCAAGGCGTCACTGAGCTGCTGTCATCCTCCCAAAGCTTATGTTCACTTTCACAAAGATCACAAACAAAAGCTCTTAAAGGCCTGTTGTTTATAGATGATGCTGAATGTTTTGTATTCTCATTAGAGCTAGAAAATAATACTTTTAATGTCACTGGCAGTTCTGTAAAGTTTTCTGAAACTCTACGTTTGGAAGGGAATGTTATATCAACACTTAGACTTTGTCCAAAACTGTCTTTAATATAATTATTGAAACTAATTATAGATTTTCAGTCTGTTGCTCCTACAGCTCAATGTCAGCCATTGTTGTAAGCACTGACTGTCTTTTTTTTTTTTTTTTTTAGGGACCTCTCGAAGGAGCAAGTTGTTCGGAACCTTCCCAGGAAACTACGTGAAGCAGCTATAATGATGATTCCAGATTTCACCCTGCCCCGGTGGCCCCGCCCCCTTCCTGCGACACTTTCACGGCCGTCAGCACAGCACCCACAGGGCATCACCGGAGACCTGAGGCTGCAGCACACTTAGTATCTGCATACACGTGTGACCTGTTTGTGTCACGCAGGCAGATTTCTTAGCTCTAACTCGCCAACTTTATCGGAAGACTTCTATAAGATAAAACTGTTTTCTAATCTTGTCTTTTTACATTTATTTTTCTATTGGAGAATAACCTTTGTGCTCCAGTCAGTGACATCTACCCTTTGACGATGACGGAATGATATTGAAGGACCGTAGTGATACTTTCCATGTCAATTTTCACAGTTTAAGGGCAGTAAGGTCACAAAGATCACGTTTTTTTTCCTGCTTTTGTTCAAATCAGACTCTAAACTGATTAAGCTTGCAGGCCATTTCAATGTTATTTGTAAGACCACCCAGTGTCCTTTAGTGGGTCGAGTTTAAAAGACAGTATTGTGTTACGGCTGTATAATGGGAATTTCATTTGACCCGTTGGATTATCATGACACTTCACACAGTTACATGTATAATAAACAGCATGTATTATCTTATCCAGAACCTAGGGTTTACGTTGGTTATTTAGGTTTGCAACATAATTGAACAGTTGTTTAATTTAGATGATAATTTACAAAATTAAAAACCACAAACACATTTTCAAGTTGTTGATTTGGGTTGATCATGTTCACATTATTGCTGCACAATGCCAGAAAACACCAAGTTATCATCAAACGTTGGGATGATAATATCCGTAGCAGTTAAACTTTTTCCTCTTTCTTTTTATTCTGTCACCATGATCCTCACAGCACTCTCCTTGAGCCACTGTCATTTAGAAATAACCCATGAATAATCACAACCCTTTGTTTTTTTTTTGTTTTTTTTTTGTCATTGCACACTGATAATGCAATAATGATGATTTTTTTTATTTTTTTTGGTGTTATTGTGCAGCCCTAAGATTGATGCACTTTACCAATAATGCAAACTCATGTATGATTTATTTTATACTTCACCTCAGATTTAACACTACATGCTACTCTGACTGCGGGACTTCAGGAGATATCGTCACGTTTGGAAAGTGTATGCAGCAACCATGCTTACCTTTTAGGTGTTATATTTATTAGACGATGAACTGTATATCAAACTATTATATTATGATGAAACTACATTAACGTTTTTTTTGTTGTTGTTTTTTTTATCTTCATCTAACCCAGGGGTTCCCAACTCTGGTCCCTGAGGAACACCATCCTGCATGTTTTAGTTGTTTTCCTGCTCCATCACACCTGATTCAGTGATTTAATTACTTCCTCGTGTTCTGCAGAAGCCTGTTAATCACCCATTTATTGAAATCGGGTGTGTCGGAGCAGAGGAACAACTAAAACATGCAGAATGGTGTTCCTCAAGGACCAGGGTTGGGAGCCCCTGAATTTGAAGCACTGTTCTTTCAGTGTTTTGGAGTCGTCGTACAGTTGGGTTGTAAAACGGAGAAATAATCTGCTGGCTGATGGGAAACAACTGCCAGGTGTCCAACTGTGTGTTGACTTTATTTCAATTACAGGACGAGAGAGATTTTTTAACAAAATATTGTGTAACTGCACCTTTTGAGCCTGCTGTCAGAATGAGTAGGTAGTGCATCATGTGTGTTTTATTTGAAACAAATGTTATTTTGTTCTTTTCTCGTTTTTATAGAGAATGGACACTGACAACAGAACTGTTGTTAAAGCACCTTAAGATATGTTACCATTCATCATCCTTCACGTCACGCTGCTGTGTGTACATTTGTGGTGTTTTTGTAAGCCTTTTTTTTTTTTTGTATGAGAGCTGTAAGCATCCACTTGCTTTATAAACTCAGCTTTTTTCTCACCCACCATCACATTTGATTTCTTCTCTTTCTTCACATTTTCTTCATCTGTGCAGCTTTATTTCCTTTCCTTACTGTAGCTGGGTCACATCACATTAATTTCTATGTTGTTATAAACGTCACCGAGGGATTTAAACTGAATTTACAGTAGGTTGAGTCGAGCTGGAGTTTGCTGCCTTACATCCAACTCATTTATTTAATAGCCATGTACATGTCGGCCTCCTTTGAGATGCAAAAAATATAATTAAACGTATGTTGTCTAGAAAACACTGTAAATGTCCAATAGTGGGTAGAAAACAAACTCTTAATAGGTTTTGGGTTTGAGCATACAGATTTGGAATGAAAACATAATTTGACTCAATATGGGTCCATGTGTAATAATATAAATTGTAAATGGTATTCCGTTTAACTATTACTGGACCTAAAGTATTTCTAAAATATTGCAGCATTTCTGGTTGATTTTATGAAGCTGTATTGCTAATAAAGTCCAGCTGGTAGATGACACATCTATATATTTTTTTTTAGCTAAACCGGTGAATGAAAATGAAACTTTAAAATAATATTAAGGTCATCTGTAGATGCTGACTTCAAGGGCGAATGTCATTCGAAACACATTTGTATTTTTTGTTATACGGGTTGTGACGATTACGAGCAGTAAAAGGCGGCAGCGTGTCCAGTAGGAGGTGAATTTATAGAAAAGCATTTATCAAACCACTAACGGCAGAAGTAGTTATTTGTTTTATACATTTCTTTAGTGCTGACTATTTCTTTTGGTTTTGCATTTCTGGAGCAGCTGTGTTTGTTGCGCTGGGTCAAGTCAATAAACAGAAGCCCTTCAGCAAAAAACCCAAAGGATCTTGTAGATGGTCCAACAGTGATTTGCCAAAGTTTGAGCCATTTATAGTCACAAATACAAAAATAATGCATGTTGTTTTTTCGTAAACATGATTATATTAAAAGTTGAGCCTGTGAGTGATAATTGAAAGCTGATTGAACAAAAACTATTTTATTAAGGACTGATTTCCATTTTATCATAAACTTTGTATTTTAAACGATGTTCATCACCATGTTAAGAAATGGAAAAATATATATATATTTTTTTTCATCAGTTGCGATCAGGAGAAGAGCTTTAAACTGAAAACATTTTACAGCCAGACCCCAGCAACTACTACTGTCATTCACCTTTAGGGCACTTCCTTACTGATGTCATGCCTCAAATCTAAATGCTCTGAACTGGATATTTCAATTGGACCATAACCCTCAAGTGTCCTGGTGTTATGGACAAGTGTAGGACCCAAACACAGAGCAACTGGTGCAGACAATAAGCAGAATTCAAATTATATGATTTATTAAACTTGATCATATGAAGTTGGGTTCTACCAAAAGTTTGCAGTTTACCTGTAGATGACTTTTTAAACAGCCTCAGTTTAAATAAATAAATAGTTTTTAATTGTCCTGATGCATGCTCAATAATCCAGGTAGAAAAATCTAAAAAAAAAAAGTTAAATCTCTCTGGACATTCAAAAAAACAAAACAAAGCCCCCCCCAAAAAAACGTTTCGTCTTTCATCCGAAAGACTTCCTCAGTCTGAGGTGCTGTATTCAGCTCAGTCTTATAAATAGCACCTTCTCAGAGTGGATCAACCAGTTTTGCTGCTGACAACCAAAACCAGCTGATCACACGATCAAGAAGGACCATCAGCCTAACAATGGATCATTAGCACACTGATGGCTGTTTACTACTCACAGAGGGCTGAGTGATACTAGCAATCACAGCATTGTAAGAGGGGGACAGTTGAACCCCGAGGCCTCCACCCCTGTTTAATGATGGACGATTTCTTTTCACAAAGATGGCCTCCTTTACTCCTCTCAAACCATCGTTCTTCTCTATCCAGGATGTGAACATCTTCATCCCTGAAAGAGTGACCGCTGGCCTGGAAATGAGTGTAGACCGCAGAGTCCTGGCCTGATGATGTTGATCTTCTGTGCTGGGCCATCCTTTGCCGTAATGTATTTTGGGGTTTAAAAGCCACTGGGACATTATGTTTAGAAAATAAACATCTCAGTTTCTCTGATGCTCCCTCAGCATACGGAATGACCACTGGTCTGGGTCTGGGTTCCTCCTTTTCACCTGTTGGCTGACTGGAGTCCTGTTTGGGTTTCTTCTCTGCTTTCAGGAAGGCCCAGTTAGGATATCCACATTGCTCTAGAGCAGGGGTGCCCAACCTTTTTTGAACCAAGAGCTACTTTTGAAGTCGGCAATTTGCCGAGAGCTACTCGTCCAGTCTCATTATCAACAAACATAATTTTTCATCAATCCCTACTCATCACTTCTTTAAAGTAAATAAAACAGAACGTGATGTGTCTATAGGAGACAACTTTTTATGCAAGCTGTATAAAATAAATGTGTCTCTACCTTAGTGGGACTTCTGACACTGAGAGGAGGAGGCCAGGGTCTCATAAGATGGGCAGTATGAGGTGGTTGCGAGGCGCAGGCAGGTCTCCAGATGATCATCATTCATTGTGGATCTGTTTTTGGACTTGATGATTTTCATGTGTGAAAAAGCAGACTCACACAGGTAGGTAGATCCAAAAAGTGCTGTTAAGTTCAAAGCACATCTTCGGATGTTAGGATACTTTTCTTCTGACAGCAGACTCCAGAACTCTCCATCCACGCCAGGTGATGCTCTGGATTTGATCCCAATGTCATTTTGCAGACTCAACACCTCATTTTCAACACCAGAGCTGTCCAGCTGAAACACGGACACCAATTTGGACACAATGTCATCCACATCAACATTTCCAAAAGGATAACACATGTAGCTGGTAACAGGCTCGATGGAGGAAAAGTCAGTAAATCGTCTCTCAAATTCTGCTGAGATGCTCTGAACCTGCTTAGAATAGTGTGCACTGTCCAGTTGTGGGACCTCTTTCCCTTGGCGCTGTAGCTCTGCCTCCATGTGTGGGAAGTTTCGCAGGTCCCTGCGTTGCAGCCGACTTGTGAGCAGTTGCAGCCTGCTTTTGAAGGTGCTCACAGAACTGATCATGTGGATTATGTTTTTGTCCTTTCCCTGAAGCTCCAAATTCAGTTCATTGAGCAGGCTGGTGAGATCTGTGAGGAAGGCTAAATCCAAAAGCCACTGGGTGTCCTCTAGTTTTGAATGTTCACCATGATCTGACAGCTTCAGAAAATCCCTGATCTCAGGCAACAGCTCACTGAATCTGTCCAGAAATGTACCTCTGCTTAGCCACCTGACGTCCATGTGCAGCAGCAGGTCTGTGTGGTC